GCCGCTGAGGCGAGCGGCCATTTTGGGGCGCTGCGGCCTCCTCTCGGGTCTCCCCTCAGGCAGGGCACTGCGGGCGGCACTCAGCGGCCCTGCCCTGGTGGCCACTGCTGCTTGTCAGTGTCCCCCTCCACGATACAATTTATCCCAAAGAAAGGGAAAATCCTCGCAGCTTTCCTGGCACCAGGCAGACACAGCAGGGCCACGGCGGCATTTGGCTGCCAGGACATCACTGGGCTGCTTGGCCCATTCATCCAAAACATAAAACCTGCTGAGCAAACGGCAAGCGCGTCACACCAAAAGCAGTCATTTTTTTTGCCTGTATTTGCATAGTTAGCAATGCCAGTGCCACCGCGCCAGGCACCCATCTGCCTCCAGCAGCTGAGCAACCATTTTGCTGCCTGTGACCTTTGATAACAGCAGTTTCTCTCACTGCGTGGAGACAGAGCAGCTCGTATTTACCACTCCCTCAGCTGTTTGCCATGCCTGGCCGCTGGGTTTGCTCCTGATAACTGAGTCGTTATCAGAAGTTTGCTCTGGAAACATTTTTTTTTTTCGTGTTTTCTGCCTTTGCTGTGTGAAATGCAGTTAATGAAAGACAAATTGTCAAGTCTTCAGTAGTTTCGCAGTGTGTATTTTCCTGCTTTTTATTAAAAAGAGATCTAATGCAATGTTGAGGCCGAATAGTATGAGAAGTTTGTCCAAAAAAAAAAAAAAAAGTGAACAGACCAAAATTCGTTGGAATAAGATCTTAAAGACACATCCTTTAGCTCGCAGAAATAATGTACGGTAGGCCCAGTATCAGCAGTCCAAATAAGAAGATTTTAAAAGCAAGACCAGCACCGCTCCGTCCCTGCTTCTGAGATGGTTTTGCTTTCACTTGCGAGGAGTAGCTTTCCCCCCAGTTTAGCAATTATCAGCGGCACCCAGGCTGCTGTCGATAATAATACCGTACAACGTGAGGATGATAGAGACGGTGATGAAAGAGGTGTAAAAGAAAATAGAACTTCGCGGCCGCAAATCGATTCTGCAGTTTTCCAATTTCCCTTCCAGCGCTGAAATTGATGAAATTGATCCTCGGAATATAAAGCGAAGGGAAGGGACAGCCCGACCACTCCGGCCTTTTAGCAAATGACATTGCCTGATGCAATCCATTTCCTTTGGCGCGGACACTGAGGTTGGGCTGGATTAGTGGGCGAAATACAGAGGAGAGATGGGGAATATTTTTTTAATAAAGATGCGGCGGTGAGCTGGTACTTTAGAGTGAAAAGCATTGCTTGAGATAGCCATTGTAAGGCTTTTGGCAAAGCGATAAATGGCCCTACAAACTCAAATATTCTTTAAAAGGTATTGAAAGCAGCTCTTTTTCTTCATTAAAAGTCTTTCTCAGCTGTCTAATACCTCATCTCTCGGTGCCTGTTTTGGAGCCCCTCTCCAGCACTCCGTAGCACTAACACGGTTTAGCACCACGTATCGCTGCCAGGGAAAGCCAGGGACCAGGGTTCTTCACCCAGGGCTGCATAGGGTTTGCTGCCTGTCCCAGCTGTGAAATGAGTTGCGTGTTGCTTGAGCAAATTATGTCACTTAGTATCTAAAGCCAGCAGCTAAATGCTATAAATGGCATTCGTGTTGCACACAAGCATTAGCACCAGCACAAACCAGGAATTACAAGATGCTTAGTGAGTTCCAGATTTTTTTTTTTCTTCCCTGCTGCATCCCTTTCTGCCTCTTTTTATCTGTGTTTTGCCTGGAATTTAATGCAGGCCTCAGACTGGAGCACAGAACTAGGAGTCAGAAAATTGGGTTCTTCACATTTGACACTGATTTACTGTGTTCTGTTGATCAAATAATTCGATCTTATGGGTTTTGGCTTCCCAGGAGACAACAAGGAGCTGTAAAACTCTTTGAGATATATTGACAGAAATTCCCTTATCAATATTATAAGTTCATGTAGGGTTTGGGGTTGTTTTGTTTGGATTATTTATTCCTTCAGGCCAGCAATCCATTGTAACTGATGATTTTGCAAGAATACAATACTCAACACATTTCTTGGGTATTGTGAGACTAAGATGCTCTAATTAAGGCTTTAATTTCACACCTAATTTATCATTCCTGCAGATACAGCTTGTAAACATTAGCTGAAAACACTTGGTGAAGAAAGTTTTGTTTCCCATTTGACATTCAGAAATAAAGATGAAAATTCTGCCTGAAAAGGAGCTCAGAGACTTGTGAGTGATTAAAAACTTTGCCCTCCTGATGAACTCAGGACTGGCACCGTTTTACTGGGATCCTGGCCTCCAGAATAAAGAAGGCCTTTGTCCAAAAAA